AATTGGTGGACTACACTGTTCTCAAATTCAGGTCCTTGGTCGGAATGCAACAGTTCAGGCGATCCAAAGATGCTGATGATGCGGTCGATAATGGCCTGAGCGACAGTGATTGCTGACTTGTTGGGAATCGGAGTCAACACGGTGAATCGGGTTAGGTGGTCCATCATGGATAGGACATGTTTGCACCGTACCCCGGCGGCTGAAACTGATTCTGCTTTATATTCAACTAGGTCAACCGAAATACGTTCAAACGGTCTTTGTACTGGTACATGTCCCGTTGGTAATTTGTTCCGGTTGTGGGCTGTTTTCCGACGTTGACAGGCTTGGCATTCTTGACACCAAGTACGGACGTCCCGATTCATGGTTGGCCACCAGTACTTTTGGCGAATCTTCTCATAAGTCGGTCTAGACGCTAAGTGGCCCCCAGATAATACGTGGTCATGATAGGCGTGTAGCACTAGTCCGGTAAGGGCGTAAGGCAACACCAATTGGTCACTAAACGTACTACGTTTCCGGAGGTAGCCTGGTAAATACGATTTAAACAGCAATCCATCACGCACGAAGTAGTACGACATGGAAGTGGTTGTCTCGTCATCAGGTAATTGAGCGTCAGGTTTTGTAAGATAGTCGATATATTTGCCATATTCAAGAGCTTGTTTTTCACGCAAGATATCGCGGTTAATAGTTTCAAATACGTTGGTCGCCCTAATATAAACTGATTTCTCAGCGAATAATTCGCGATCACTTTGAACCGGTCGCAAGTTTTCCAAACGATCTGCAGACACTTGGTACGGACGTGGTGGAACATTTGAATGCAGCGCAGGGTCATCAGGCACATTCCTACATATCGGTGCAAGTTGCGGTGCTTCCAACTGTTGTTGGTGATCGAACGCAAACAACCGAGATAGGGTGTCTGGGACTACATGTAACTTTCCCGGCTTGTGTCGCACTGTAAAGTCAAAGGACTGCAAAGCGATTGCCCATCTGGTCAGCATATTAGACGTGTTTTGCATTGTGTACAAAATATCTCAATGCCGCGTGATCCGTGACAACTTCGAAATGTCTGCCCCACAAGTAGGGTCGCCAGTGTTGTAAACTCAAAACCACACCGTAACATTCCTTCATCGTCGCAGAGTAATGACGTTGAGCCTTGTTAAATCGTTGGCTAAAATAAGCGATAATATTCACATCGTCGCCGTTCTTTTGGCCCAGGAATGCTCCTGCACCAACTTCACTAGCATCTACGTGAACCACGAAGTCTTTGGTAAAGTCAGGGAAACATAACACAGGTGCTTTGCTGAGTAACCGTTTGATCTCTGCAAAAGCCTTATCATGTTCCTGGTTCCAACGTTTTGCGATCGATTTTACATGCTCTTTTTGTGTGAGTTCGACTAGCGGTGCGATCACCGTAGAAAGGTCGGGTATAAATTTCCTCACATAGCTCACCATTCCCAATACTGAGCGAAGCGCTTTGATTGTTTTGGGTGCAGGCAAATCGACAATAGACTTTATACGATCTTCCCCAACACGAATCCCTTTTTCCGACAGTATATGCCCCAGGTATTTTACTTCCTGTGGTCCAAATTGTACTTTGGAGGGTTTCAAGGTAAGACCGGCCGCTTGGAGTGCTTGGAGCATGCTTTCTAATAAGGTTAGATGGCTCTCCCAATTTGAGTTGCAGCAAATAATGTCGTCCATATACACCAAAAGTCCACTGCGTGGTCCGAAGTGAGAGAATGCCAGAGACATCATACGGGCAAATAGAAAAGGAGCATTCGCAATTCCGAAGGGGAGGCGTTTGAAAACCCATTTCCCTTTGTGTGTCACAAACGCAGTCTTTTCTTGTTCTGCTTCGTCTACTTCGATTTGGTGGTAGGCTGACTGGATATCGCAGACAGTAATACATTTTGCACCTCCAACGGTATCAATATGGGATTCTATATCTGGCATGGGCCAAGATTTTCGAATAAAACTCTTGTTAATAGTAGAGCGGTAGTCAACGCAGAATCGAGGAGTGCCATCAGCTTTTGCTACGATGGTAACTGCAGATCCCCACGAACTGGGTCTCTGTTCAATAATCTCCTCGTCCTCCATTTGTTCCACACACTTGTCGATAACTTCTTGTGCTCTTCTAGGATTAGTACGATAGGGAGCACGGTCGACTGGTTTAGTGCCTGGTTCTAGCGGAAAATCTGCCTTGGCTATCTTGCATTTTCCGAGCTCCTTCGGAGATAATGAAAACACGTTACGATATTTCGCGCATAAATCCATCCTCTCATTTCCTATACCAAAGCCCCCCCCCCGTACTTTACACAACAGTGGCCTCAAAAAAATTGTTGTCACATAAAAAAACCGTTTCGATCTCTCTACCTAGCCCTCATAACTGTCCGTACTGATCCAATACTTGACGCGGTCGATTCCCGTGGTCGCAGGCTAACTTACGCTAAAAAGGTACACTCATATAAAATGGACTCGAGGGGTCCGCAAGCCAATTTATATCAACCGCAGGTACTACTACTTACTGCTGTAGTCTGGAGCCCTCAGCTGCTCCCTCTCTCTGTGCGCGTGTGTGTGATTTCGTCCTACTTTTTATTATGGCGACAGTCCTTCCATTTTTCGTGGTGAGACGTGTACTAGTCTACACTTTTCAGTGTGCAGAGCACTTTTCTGGACCTTTCGATCGCTCCGCATCATCGCATCATCATCAATCATCTTCGATGTCTCTTCCCGGGGCATTAAGAAGTCTCCGTCCGGCCGCACCTAACATCAAACATCAAACATCGTTCGTTGTGCTCTTGACATGACCTGCAGCAGCGTAGCGTGCACACGCCATTTTATTGCGTGGATGTTCCACTGAAGAATGTGGACTGATATCCTCGCAGAACGACGTCGTCCGCCGTCCGCAGCTCGCTCTCTGCATCCCACTCCCTCAGCACAGGAACCGGTACACGCCAAGAGGCCGTGAAACATGGCACGGCGGTGTGTACGTCGCAACAGCAGTCCCGCCTCTCCGGAAAAGAATTAAGGAAAAATAAATTAAGGGATAATATAAACACACACAGAAGGACTACCATTCGAGATATACCCACAGTCACAGAAAGAATTAAGGAATAATAAAAACACACCCAGAAAGACTACCCAGAAAGAATATTATTTGTAGAGTCGGCGCAACACGAATTATAAAGTAAAAAATGTATCTTCAAGTTTTTGGCAACAGGCAACAGGCAACAGGCAGCGCCGTGTAAGTGTACAACGACCGCACCAGAGGGGAGCACCAGCGCAGAGAGTGACCTCGGCAGCGATGTGCAGGAGAAACCAAGCGTTACACAAGGCTCAAGGACAAGGCACCGTCACCGACAACACCCCACATGAACAAGCCGGAGACACACCACCGACAACATCACCCCATGAACAAGCCAGCAGAGGGAAGACTTACATCAACTGGGGATGTTCCGTCCACGGAACGACGCGGCCATCACCAAACGATTGGGCTCAAGAAAAGCTGCGACTTTTGCTTCAAGCGTCGGAAGAGATGTGACGGACGTGCCCAGAGGCGATGTAGGTGAGCTGAGACCGTGCACCTCTTCTACATGAACATATGTCAGCAGTTCTTACTATAGTCCAATCGCCTCGGGCAAATCGGATAGATAAATGGGCCGAATGGGTGTAAAATGGTGCACGAGGCTTTGGCGCGTGCGCAAGTGTCGCGGCACACTTGAGTTCGTGGTTGCTGGTTGTCTCGAATCTGCGCTGTGCCGGTGGCATCAAACGATAGACGTCGACGCTCCTTTCCTCATTCGAGAGGGTACGGCTTGGTCGAAAGGGATGAATGGTTGACGGGAATCTTTGAGAACCTTCTATGCAAGACTACAGAATCCATACATACATTCAGCATATATAATTACCCCGATAAATATGCATACAACGCTTTCGAACTATGTACACGCGAGACCAGCGGTTTCCAAAGATTGGATTCCACAGCGGCAAGTGTGAAGGTGCCCGAAATGGCGGCGTTCGAAAACCGTCTCGTCAAGTGCTTCCGAACACGTATGTATCGTTTGGGTTAGAATGAGCCGCGGAGCGGCGAAGGCACTACATTATTTACGCTGTTCTTCTTTCTGCCTCCATCCCAGCTAAAACAGGGCCGAAATATCGGCCTCTTCCAACGCGATGGAGGGGATGAACGGGGTAAGTACCGTGCACACGAGCTTGTCTCGAACCGCTTAGATATCAATTATAAAAACACACACAGAAAGACTACCCATTCGAGATATACCCACAGTCGAACGGGATGATGTTGTTGCACAGAGCAAAGTAGTCTAATTACTCCCAGCTACAATTTTCAAAATCTTCTCGGACCTCGAGTTCCCTGAAATAATCACCTCAAAAGTTGACCTGGCACACTCTTTCGCGCCCTCGGGTTAACGGTCACACCTCGAGATCCGTGAATTTTTCACCTCAAAAGTTGACCTGGCACACTCACTCTTTCGCGCCCTGCACCAACGGATGGGGTTGACCTGACAAGCAGCTAGACTTTTGCTCTCTGCCTACTAGTCTATTTGATCGATTTTGTATTTCTAAATTTCATGTCTGCCAGGAAGAAATTCTGGGTTGGTTGTCGTTTATCGTCGTCTGTCTCGCCATCTCTACTCGGAGAGGACAGGTTTTGTGCTGACAGGCTCAACGGACTTCTGTGCCGACACGTATATATATACGATGGCAACAAACTGCTGTCACCCGTAGGTGTTTTTTTTTCACGCACTCCTTCCAAAATGTCCTTTGTGTTTTTTCCAGTTTTTCAAGAGGGAACGTTCATGTCACATATGCATAGACCCTTCCTGATTTGTTAGGTTATAGCGTCACGGGCGCACGCCGACGTGATTACCGGCCACACTTCGCAAGTCTCGGCGCCTCTTCCCCTCTCTCACGCTTTCGGCGGCAGTTTTTGCAACGAAAAAGGGCGGCCGGAATGTCACTACAGCATGAGGTCCCTCCCGAGCATGTCTTCCGAGACCCCGACCGTCGTTCCAGCCTCCGGTGAGGAGGACGCCGTTCGAGACGATTCGCCGCCCACGGGTGTAAGCTTCTGGGCCGGGGCGGAGGCAGACAACGACGCCAACGCCGATACTGGGACACAACCCACCGCGAAGAAGAAGGGGTCAGAGACGGCTGTTGGGGTCACGGGCTTGGTGCTTCCATTCAAGAGGTATAGAGTGAAGCACACGCGACATGTTGATGATGAGATCCAGCCGGCGTGCATAAATATTCTTGAAAGCAAGAGCGGTAACCACAACGATTTCCAAGCAGTATCCGCACAATGTGTTTGCACGTACTTGTTGAGTTCTGTCCACTTCAAGATGGCCGGACAGAAAAAAAGACTCCTCTGGATCACGCGGGGTGCCAGCCTTTCTTTTTCCCCGACATTCCCCCCCCCGCCCGGTGCCGCTCCCTTGCCTCGTGTTCGAACGCTCCTTCTCTCTCAGGGCCCGGATCAGCGCTTCCCCGGCGACTGGGCTGGCAGGACTGCTCGAGAACGAACTCTTGGGGGAATTTTTCGGTTGCTTGGGCTTCCTGTCCCTTGCCACCGAGAGGTTTGTGCAGTATGTATTGTAGACACGATTTTTTGTCGTAGAGGAAGGATCTCGTCGGCCAAACAGCTGCCGTCCTCGCTGAGGAACCTGAACCTTCCACCGGTCTCACGGCCGGCCTCGGAAGTCTCGCAGCCCGCTTACGGGGACCAGTGGCGACCGGGTTTTTCGAGTCGGCGGCGACAATATATTTGCCGCGTTGCTAATACGTGTAAGTAGTTCTGCGAATCGATGAGGAGTTTTTCGGCGTCATTTGTTCGATTCGCCGGAGCATGGGCAAGTTGTGGACATTTATTTTGCAGAACAAGGAAGCTTTGTGGTTTCGCAGCGACTCTTGGTAGCACCCCGCGGAAGCACTGTTCCACCTGCGATGACGGCAGCGATTCCACCTGGCCAGTACCCACCACCGTAGTTTGTGTTTTGATGACTGCCGCGAATATCGCGTATCGCAATAGCCTCGTTCCCCGAGACCGGGGTATTGTTTTTTTTTCTCTCTTCCCCTACATAGTAGTGAGCGTGGTTTCTCCGCACTCAACCCTCCCGGCGTGCGTTCGGTCCCTCTCGACAGCATCGTCCGCGGTGCGATGGTGAGTGTGATGCGGGCCAGCAACGGGCTGAATCAACGAGGGGCAACAACACCGGCTCGGCCCCGGCCTGCAACCGACGGGGCCTGGCTGGTCGAGGAGGACGATACCGAAGAGGCCCCCGCAAGCAGCGTCCGGACAGAGGAGGCGTGCTGGCGTAAGGCCGTGACGACCGAGGATGCGGCGCTGCCGCGAGATGCATCGACGTGTATCCTGTGGTGCGCGATCGCCCTCGGTGCTCTCGTGCGAGGGTACCCTTTGCCACATGTGGGTGGGAACTCGAACGCCGCTCTTTGGTGGCTAAAGCAGGGTGCAGAAGGCATGTCGCGCCAGTGCTGGACACCGTTCTCGATTGGCTATGTAGCTAGGAATCCGTCTAGATATCCTTTCGAGTCATGTTGTCGCAGAAGGAACAAGAGCGCTACACCTCTGCCGACACCCGTTTTTCTTGTCCTGTGCTCCAACGAACTGTACGCATGGCCCTCCTCAATCGCGGAACAACAGGTGCAACGGTACGTCCATCTGGCGACAGATACGCTAGCGTCCTGTTCAGCTAGTGCTGCACTCGACATAGCCAGGTAGGAGCTGTAGCGAAAGTTTTGTGTTGCCTGATTGAGCGCTACATCTGGCACGTCCATGTTCTCATCAACTCGGCGCCTACGAACACTGAGAGGTGGTTGGCCAACCTCGCTGTCGGTGTATGTGCATGGCACCTGTGCCCGTGCTGCCAGTACGTTTCAGTCGATATCCAACCGACTTCCATCCATCGTTTTTTTTCTTTCTGGGAACGCAGGGCCAACCTCGCCATGGCCTTCGTGCACAACTTCCTGGGCGATCAGGTGGGTTCCTGTTCGTTACACAGCGGTGGTGGACTACCGTCCATGACGGGCGCCGCCGTCTACCATAGTCGCTGTCGTCGTTTAAGTCACTCCTGCGTCCTTACGCCTTGAACACATACGTGTACCGCACGATATCCCGTTTGGATGCGAGATGGGCGCGCACGGGCCTCGAATGGTCTTGCCCTTGACGTTTGAACCCCTTGTTGCGTCGAAGCCGATATGATGGTGCGATTTCTTCTGAAGCCGCGGTGCAACGACCGTGCAATCGATATTTCCATTCTCGGTTTGACCGGCATTTCTGGTACTGAGCGCATCCACAGGGTCCCTCTTTGGATTTCTTTCGGTCGTGTGCGGCTGGTTGAGAACTTCCCCGATGGTTTTGAGCGTTTCATCCGCGATTTCTTGAGGCGGGACCAGCGGTTCGTCCGCTGCCGTGTTGGCACGTGGTGAGTATCATCGTTTGATGTAGGTCCCCCCCGCCCCCGCCCCACGCCGAACACGCCTAAATAATGTGAAACTCTCAGGTCAAAAACCACCGATACGTGGAGCTCGCGAACAGCATCGTGAGCGCCCTGCCCCCGGGACAAGTCTCGTTGGTGAGAACCGACCAGCTTTTTCTGTCATGCAAAACGGGCAAGCGCAGTGTTTCCTGGTTGTAGCGTTTCCACCCCTTTCTTGTCGCTCAACGTCCGAACGGGGCGGCGGTACGTTTAGCCTTGAGCTCAACCTTGCCTCCGAACCGCAAGCCGACTTTTGGAGGCAGGACAAAGTACCATTCGGGTACACGGCAGGGCGCATATCTCTTGTTGTCCATGTTCCGCGAGATTTATGAGCCAGGTATTCATGCATAGGTACAGTAGGCGTGTGTTGTCAGAGAGACCATATTCGGGGGCGGGTTCCGTGGGAGTATGAGCCCGTTGGTGGGGGGCGTCCGCCTTTGGCGTTGGCTTTCAGCTGGTTGTTGTCCTGCTCTTTCACACGACCCTAGAGGTCTCTGGGCCCGCGTGTTGCCTACGCGCGGCCCGGGGCGCGGTGTGGTGCGGTGTTGCCTTTCTCGGCGAGTTTTCTTGGCGTGACACATTCGCTGGACGTTGTGTCGCCAATGCCTCGCTGCACGATCGCGCCGCACGCCGCAGGGAGTGTACGACCTGCTGAAGTACGCCGGGAAGTCTTGGGTGTTCGAGGTAGGCCTCGCCTCGAGGAAGGACATAGATGCCTACTGGCAGAGCGTGTCCCCCATTTGGAAGGTGAGTTCGAAGGAGAAGGGGCTGTGATGTTGCCGACGAAACTCGTGCACGAGCACTCGGCCGCAAACATTCCCCAGTTTATTTCCTCTGTGAATGCTTGGCATCGTAGGCCAGAATGAATGAGTTTGGTATTTTTACGATTTTTGGGAGCAAGCGCTCCTCCTGTTGTTCCGGGTGGATCCTTCCCTCCCAAACGCCCCCGCCGGCGCTCCTCTATCCGCTGTTGCACCCGGTGACCGTGTAGCTGCCAGAGAAGGTCGTGGAACAGGACATCTGTGGCCTCGTCCTTGCTGTCGACACCCGCATCGATCAACTCGTGCTCGCGGACGCCCCGGGGACACCCGCTGCCGAGGGACTGCAAAGTTCGTCCGATGCCACCGCGGAGGTGTCCTCGAGGCCGTCGCCGCTCACGTATGGGGAGGATGACGATGCGGAGGGGATGATGGGAGGGTTCGTGGACGCGCCTCTGCCGACAAAAGAAGGGGGTCTCGCTTCGCCCCACCCCACGGATCCCTTTCTGGGGATGAAGGAGGCGATGCCGGAACTGCTGCGCGCGAATGGCCTTCTTTCGCGGTGAGGAAGAATGAAAATGCGGGCACGTGCTTTGTTGGTGCACGCGTTGTGGACGCACTTGGGTTGTTGTGCAGCAGCAGCCGGTAGACCTTCTAGGCCACTCCCTTCGATCGAAACGTGCGACCCGTCGACGCTGCGTGTAGCCCCCCCCCCCCTGCTTGGTTGCTTACTTTGCTCTCTGAAGGGCCGATCACGGCCGACGGCGACCCCTATACACCCTGAGCAGTTTGAGTGTTGCGCGTGGTAGAGTTGAAGCCAGAGCGTTCGTTGGGGCCACCTGGCGCTGGGGGAGCTCCGTGGGTGTAAGGAAGGCACCGATGATGCGATGGGGCCTCCACTGTATTCCCCTTCAAAGAGCCTCTCTCTCTCTTACCGCCCTTTCTCCCGCTTGTTTGTGCCTCTCGCCTTCTCGCTCGCCCGTCTGCCACATACCGGCCATATGATGGCGGCGGATAGTGCCAAGATGCAGTCGGGGCTCGGTAATCTGCTGTACTACGGGTGAGCTGTTTATTTCAGGCAACCATCGCCTAGAGTTAAAAAAGTGTATTTGTACGCATTGCAACGCGAGGATGTCACGAATGTGCTCGATGGCCAACGGGGATCGTCTTCCTGCAGTGCTGTTCGGTGTTTTTAATAAATTCCGGTTGTTTGTCCTTGCTTGACCCGTTTGAGTGTATGTGTGTGTGTGTTCATTCGCTACTTTTAGTATATGCTTCCGTCGCGCCCATCTCCTCCTTGTCAACAACCATTGAAGGTAATTTAGATTGAGTGGGAGGGGCACCGAGAACTTGCCTGTCCGCAGGGCACTCGAACGGATGTTACCCCCCCCCCGGGCACCTTTTCCTGACGCCGAACACGATCCGCCTTGCACCGCCGTGTGTGGTGTGGTCGAATGCGCCCCCGCGAGCAGGAATCTCTGCTTCCTCCAGGCCCTCAACAACGACATTGCCGCATCGGCGGGGTCATTCCACCGGAGCGTGAGCGCATTGCTGCGCTACCCGGGCCTGTGTCGCTACAACTCTCTGTGAGTCTGTCTGCTGCTTCCAGGACCAGAGTGTTAGCGTCGAGCAGAGCAAACGCTCGTTCCGTCGATGAGCTAAATAGCTTCATGAAGGACGTGCCGCATATTTGATGAATTTGTTGAGAGCAGGCGACGGAAGGCTGTGGACGAGTGAAGTATACAAGCCCACCTCCTCGCGCCTTCATACTTCCACCGCTGGGCGAGACTTGCTCGAAGTCGTGGGCCGATAGATAGTTCCACGAGAAGGGGTTCGAGTTTTCATAATTAGTAGTGAGTTGTGAGACCGAATTTCGAGAACGAAGTTTATAGTGTCGTACGATGACAGCGGCTTTGGACACACAGCAAGCTGTTCAGGATCTTGCTGGTCTTAACCGTTCGAGGCGAAACCTACAGCTTGCAGTCGTGGGTGGCATACTGGTGCACGTGCAATGTTGCCAATTGGCTTCGCCACGGCCTTCTGAATCTCGCGGTTGGATGCTATTTCTGCCATTGTTTGCCGCCGTTCCCGAAGTGTCTTATTGTGCGGTAGAAGTGAGACGACCACGTTCGCCTGGCGCGGGTATGAGATGTGGTTATCCTGTACAGGGTCGTGGGTGCGAAGACGACTCGTTAAGCTTTCGTCTGCGACGTTAAGAAGGTGGCTCGCGCGCGCGCCATCCACCGCGTGGCGAGCCTCAGGCTCGAGCTCCCAGTACATACTGCTGTGCTGTTTTTTACGAGCTTTGGAGGAAAGTTCCGGGGAAGGATCACTGCCACCAGAAAAAACGTGCAGACGTGGCCTTTTTGACCAAAATGAAGTGGGAATCTAGGTGCAGAGTTTCTGTTTGAATCGGAATCGTGCTGTTCCCGCTGTAATTCTGTGTCGGCCATTGGGCGGCATCTTCGGTGACTACCGTACAGCATTAGTCTTTCCAAAAACATGTCCACCTTCCGTGTCCCACGTATGCTGAGCGTTTTTGTCCAAAACCATCCGCGTGCCTGTGAAAACCGCGTTCTCGACCAGGTCGCACAACGCTCACACACAGCTTTGGGGGCTGGCCAATGCCCGCCGGCGAGAGCACTACGAGGCTTTGAGGGCGGCTTACAACCCGATGCGACCAGCGAGCCTCTCGCCAGCACCGCCATTCGACGAGTGGACAGGAATGTCCGACATATGTGACCACCCCTACTGCAGGTACTGTTGCCGCCGTTGCTCGCTGTGAAAGGTACCGTAACGGCCAAGATAACTGCCCAGTAAGAATGCAAGCGTGGTATGCATATGCGTATGGGAATTTACCGCTAGGGTGGGCAACCCCTCGGCCTGCCGTTGCAAAGCCTAACCTGTGACATAGTGGCAACGTCACAATGCAGTGTCAAGAGGTGATATTTCCCTATTTATGCACATTGCATGTTTCCGCCGTATTAGCACTTGGTATTCGGATGCCTTTTCGAATCGGGAATGAACTCGCTCCCTGTCGCCAGTTTCGAAAACTCTTCCTCGAGATGTTTTTACGCGTCAGGTTTGACGGCACCGCTGTTGATGCTTTCACTGATGGGTCCCCACCCCCTCGACGCACGTCGCACGCTTTCCGACAGGAATGTAGCTGAGCAGATGAGCGCCGCTTTCGCACACCACTTTGTGAAAGTGCAAGAGTCGGGGCCTCCGTCTGTTGCCGAGTGTGACGTGGCGTTAACGGCAGTGCTGGACCAGTCTGATGCCGAGGCGCTGTACCCTAGCTAGGCCCGCGGAATTACAAGGGCTAATCTCGTCAACTCTAAGCGAACGACGATAATGGGCTTGGATATCCGACCGCAGGAGCAGAAAACCCACACTCGCGCTCGTTCGCAGTATGTCGAGAAGCCATTTTAGAGCTCCGGAGTAGCCGACGGCCAGGATCATCGGAGCGACAAGATCTACCAACATTTTAGCGTACTTTGGCGCGTAGTAGTTCCTGCTTGAAGTACTATGTAGATAGAACCACACCTATTTACTGCAGCGTGGAGTTTACCCCGCGTATTGTTGTGCGAGGCGCACGAACCACAGAAATGTGGATCCTCGGCCATACGTGCTGCTTGTGACGGTGTAGGCACGCGGTGGGGTGGGTTGTTTGCTCGATATTTATTTTTTAGTCTTCGTTTGGCGTGTTGTTTGTGTTATAATAGTATTATAAGTGTTCGTCGTATCACCTACCAACCGGCGCTTGCAGTCTTTATTTCCACACCGCACCGCTGTACGTAGCTAAGCGATTAGAGAGTTTATGCCCTAGTGGCAATCCGAGGTCTTGCATTGTGTTGAAGCGTGTAAGTTCACATCGTCCGTGCAACGCTCGCAGTTTTGACGTTGTACCGTCGTGTTCTTGTCTCTCTTGTGTAACTAAACAAGAGTTTCGGTCCTGGGTCACACAGAACTCCTCTACGGTGCACGTTCGCACCACAAGGGTCCAGTACGTATTTCCTCAAGGTTCCCTCGAGAAGCAATATCTCCTCCACGTATTATTGCTCGGCACGAATGCGCAAACCTGTTTGCGGGAGCTCGCAGTGGAGCCGCCAGAGTTGATGGGACGAAAACAGACAACTCTGAAGACCCAGCAACTGCTCCACTCCGGACCTTGCCAGAACCCTGTTTTTTCCCCCGGGCACCTCGTAGTGTAACATAATTACAAAACACCAATGCAGCTGAATTTTTTGGAGGCATCGCCGAAGAACGGTTACAGGCGAGGAACTGTTCCTGAGCGTGCAAGTGATACCAACCGAATGAATCACCTGCTTTGGGGGGCGTAGGCTTTCGATTTCGCCTGAGAAGATTGCTAGGTCGGAGACAATCTGCCCGGGACAACCTCCGAAACCCTATCTCCCAGGTGTAATCATGTGCTGCATGACGCAATATTCTTGTTTACTCTACATGCGGGACGAATGGCACATGCATGCGACGATACATAGATCAGTCATCAGGTTTTGCGGTGTGACTACAGCAAGGCGTTGGATCGCCTTGGGACTCGAGTAAACGAAATATCATCTCCCAAGATCTACTGTACACATGCATGCGGGAACGTCGTGGTTCGCAGAATTCCCCAAGAGGTACGCAGGTGCCAATGCGATTACATGTACGGGTTCACCAACCACACACCACCCATCCGCGCACGCGGTGAACAACAGCAGCACCCATCGTGTGTACTCAATCAAGGACGACCGTGCCTGCACGCCCAAGCGAGATAGACTATCTTGTGTGTGAGAGTCATTAGAGACCCCCTTCGATCGTACTTTTCTGCCAAACTTTGGTGCGGTCCTCTGTTGTTACAGCAGTACCTCCGTGCCTTCTCGCGGAAGCTACAGCGCCCCGCGATAGTTAGAGTTGAACTCGCGGCTCCAGCAAGAGTTTGTTCCGAACTGCTGTCTGTTATGTACAGTATGTGTACATCCATGCTGCGCTGCGAGGTTTCATGACGTTTTTTCGACAAGGGCAACTTCGAGCCGTATTGTAGGAGGCCGACGTTGCGGCAGGGAGTGAAGCCAGGAGGAGCAGTATTCTACTCTCGTGGGCATTAGCTGTTACTGCCGTTGGCGTAGCTGTGTTTGTGAGCAAGAGGTCCCGCGGGCTTCGGGAAGGAGGCGATCTTGGATTGCTTCTGAGGAGTTGTGGGAGCCCGTCGAATATACTTTTTCGATTGGCCACACAAGTACGAAAGAGCCGTCAATAATAAAAATACCACACATCATAGGGAGAGCCGTCAATAGTTGAAGCCGAGAAACACATGTTTGTCGTCAAGTCGTCGCTTGCTCAATGATACTGGGTGTTCTTCACCCGAGGAAGAACCGCTTGTAGTGAAGTGTGAAGTGTGACAAATATGATCGGCTGATCGGTCGGGAAAAAACCAGTTCTCTCGGCCAATCCTGTCTTTATTCATTTCAGGGGCCAATCAATGGCTTCTCATCAGGTCTGGGGCGGCGACAACAGCGTATGTAGCAGGCTTGGTTGTCGATCGCGCAGAGAACACAGAAGAGGAGCAACAGCGGATATGCGGATTGCATGGTTGCATGGCATCAAATGATACAACGCGGCGAGACACGTGCCGTTCCGGAAAATGGTGCGGAGCGTCAACCCGCCAACGTGCCATTGTGCCGACGTAGCCAGAGGAGGAGTCGAGATTCCATGGGGCTTTGGTGCGCGCTTCATATCCTCCTCTGCATTGGCTTCCTGCTGAATGAATGCGTAGGCCTGGTCCTGTTTCCTTGCAGAGCCACGCTACGCTTGGATATGTCGGCGGCGGCATCGTCATCCGTCAGGGATGCTGATAGCGTACGTGTTCAAGTTGTCAGCGATTTCGCGTGCCCCTGGTGAGTTCTGCTGCATTGACAGCAGTATGATACATAGGCACGCCTGCTCCTGCTGTGCACTCTCACCTCTCTCCATCTCATCCAAACAACGTTGGAGACGATATGTCGCCGCTCGAGCAACAACATAGAGGATAGAGGCGGGGGAAGGCGGGTATAGCGGGGGGTGGCCTTGAATGCAGTTCGCTATCCCCAAACAGCGAGTCACGAACACCCGATCATCCAACGACGAAGTGGGCTTCCTATTGAGCCCACCAGCAGAATCTGCTGGGAATCGATGACAGAGAATCACTCATCGCAGTGAAAGATCTATTGACCAACAACAGAGATCAGTCCGCGTTCATAAGGCGAAGCGCGTCGCACCCGACTGTGAAGTTCGGTAGGTAACTTCCTGGTTGGCGACCTCTGGCTACGTTATAGCAGTTGGTTTCGCCGCTTCCACAAGGTGATCGTATCACGGAGACCCTGCATTGGCGTTGTGTTTCTCACGCCTGCGATGCTACTTTAGACGATTGTGCCATGGACTATTTAGTAACCATTGCTCGTCGACGGCATTGGCCTTCCTCTCCCCCACTCTCTCGTCTCGGTGCCTCTTTTTTTTTTATCGCGCACAGCACGTATGCATGTGCATGTATTACAACAGCAGTACCAATATGTACAAATGTACTGTAAAACAAAGATATAACCACAGCAGTACTGGGGTCGCTATATGTAGTGCAGGGTGTGTCCAGAGATTTTACCTGCACTATAGCGGGCACCTGCACTATTCAGGATCGAGGAAGAAGCTTAAATCTGTGTCAGCAGATTTCACCGGCACTAGACTATACCTAGCACCTGCACTGCTCTAGACTAGATTGTAGCGCACCAGTACTGCTGTACTCATCGGTGCCAATGAGAGAGAGCCTCTGCAGCACCAATGTACAACTACATATGCCACTGTTGCAACGAGCTGCTACTGCAGTCACCAACGCACCAGGTAGAAGAAACTGCAATGCGCTCGCCCCCGTGGAGAGGAATGTATCGGCAAAAACGTCCTTGTGCTGTCACTCTTGCCGGTGGCATCATGTTTTATTGTGTTTGTGTGTATGTACATCATTCCTACATAGGGTTCCGCTATTTCGATCCCACTTGATTTCCGCATGAACGCTCTACCCGGCAACTCAGCCCATCAGCACACGCCGCCCATGCCCGAACATGACTGTGCAGGTTAAACGCTCACACGACGGCTGTCTGAGCCGTGTGAGGCAGTTTTTTGTGTCGTGGTGCTGTGGGGTAATTTGCTTGCAACTATTGGCGTGGTGTGTGAAGAAAAGACTTGCGCACCAATCCAACGGAGATTGTCAGTACACTTCTCGGGGCGAGTGGGTTTTTCCCCACCACCGGGGTTTGCCTCATGCCTTTCCTGCCCACGTTCGTACATGAGTCCCAAGCAGCAAGCCCATCTCTTGCCGGAGCATAGCCAAATCAGGCTGGCGGATCGTGCCCTGTGTAGAATCGTTCACGCAGAAGCCGGCACGTCAGCTAGTCGACGCCCGAGACAACAACAAATGTGGTCATGCTTGGACCTCGGTGCAGATCACACCATTTCGGCAAGGATAAACATCCGACTGAACGAGTCCGATACAGTAGACACAATGAAGCTTGAAGTTCCAAGACAACGAAAGGCCTATGCTTCGCCGCTGCCGGCTTGAACCCCGTGGCCCCCTGAAACGCGACCCCTACCATGCACAACAAGGCTATGACAGAATAATACCACCTCTAACAAACAGGGGATGTGCCGCCGAAGCTGCAACGGAATTCATTCACACGGTGTATTTCTCATACTTTTTTCATAGAGGGTCACCTGCTGCCTTTTGGGTGGATGTGCCTTCCTGATTGTAGTCTAAACGCTGTGCGTTCCTTGTAGGTGCTATGTGGGAAAGGCACGCCTCGGCGCCGCGATCGAGGCCTTCGAACGATCGTCCACCTCAGACGGCAAGGGAAGGGCGCGGGTACAGGTCTCCTTCAGTCCCTACATGATCGATCCTCGCACGCAGCCGGGCGGCGAGGAATACCTGGTGTACAACAAGCGGCGGTGGGGAGGGGACGGCTGGACGGCTTCCTTGAAGAGGTGAGTCGTTGTACACTCGTACTTGACGAGAACAAGTATATATATGCGCTTGAGAGTTGCCCGGATTGTACACCGTACGGTGTGGGGAGGCGTGTATTTCGAGCGTAACGCGTACGCTCACTCTGGCTGTTCGCTTCGCCATGCATGACACTCATGCCTGCAACGCCATCGAAACGAAGAAAGTGGCGCAACTCTGGCCGAGGCTCTTTTGTGCCGTTGTCCGGTGGAGCTCAAGCATAAGGATGACCCCGGTCGCCGTCGAAAGGTGTGGGCGACACCAGTGTTGATTCGCGGCGCCGCTGATGAAGCTACTATAATACTGCTGTCTTGTTACTTTTATGCTGCCGGCGTTATTACCAATCACGAGCAGATCTTCCAAGAAAGACGGGTGCGATTTTGCAAAATGGGAGACTTGGCCCAACTCCCTCCTCGCGCACAGGCTGCAGAAGTTCGCCGATAGCGCTGGGAAAGGTGACCAGGTAGGACTCGCACACGGAGCAACGGCTCTCTACACTACTAAGGGTGGTTGCAGACACTCGATACTGCTTTCCTTTCGTGTGCTGAAACCTACAGTGAGTGTTATTCGTTGAAGAAATCTTCCTCTTCGCGGATATTTTGACCCACAACCACTCATGATAGCACGGCCTCTCATGCAGCAGATGCAGCGTCGGTCGCCGCTTCTAGAACGTTATATTTGCTGCGTGTCCCTAAAGCTTGGCGCCGATCACACGCAACTACCTCCCGTTCCTGCGGGTTTACCATTCCGTGGTGCCTACTCCCACTCCCACAAGTGCGAAACCTTGAGTTCCCCCCCAACACCCTCACACGAGCAGGTGAACAGCCTGGTGTTTCAGACGATCTACGAACGAGGGGGAAACGCCTCTGATCTCGAAACCCTGGTGTCTCTGGCCGCGGAGGCCGGTCTATCCCCCGCGGAAGCTAGCGCCTACCTCTCCTCGCGGGAGGGAGAGGAAGACGTCCTCCAAGATGATCACACGGCCAAGACCGAGCTCGGCGTCACCGGAGTTCCATGTTTCATAGTCCGGGGAACCGGGGGGCGGGAGTCTGGGAGCGGGACTCCTGACGACGCCGTTGGTGGTGGCAGTGTGGGCGGTGCTGGACAATCAGAAATCGTTCTGAATGGAGCCGTTGCGCCCGACAAGCTGTTGCGGGCCTTTGAGTCTGTTCGTCGGCTGGGATAAGAGGCGAGCTCCCGCGACTTTGCTCCGTATACACGTGTCTTCCGGAGTCAGTCATGGTGCAACGAGCCTCGGTTGTCTTGGGTTTGTGGCTCCCATGGTGCCATGCGTTCTTGGACGGACGAGGAGGATGGATGCCCGGTTGTACCACGATGATCACCCGAGCTACAACTAGCGTTGTGCATAACTCGGGTTGTGTCGGGTAGGGCTACTTTCGTTTGCAATGAGAATGTGAGCGACATCGTCTTCGGCTTTTTCGCGTATTAACGCAAAGACGGACAAGTGACCGAGCGGCTGGGGCGTCGCGAATACTGCTGCCGGAAGTTGTGGAGGTCAACGTAAGTACAGTACATGTACCCTTGCCTCCGAAACGGTTACACCACCACGCAACAAGATTGCGCCGCGCACGAACTCCGGAGGCCATGAATTTCATGAAAAGCCAGACAGGCCGGTTGTTTCGTCAACGACTCGTTTTCTTCCCTAATTGGGGTACTTCTTGTCAAACTCCTGGCGTAGCTATTAGATGTCTTATCGAACACCCAAAGAGAGGCCTGACCTGCTTGGAGAAGACGCCAACCAAGCGAGAGAGGGTTCAGTCTACCGCTGTTGCTCCACGAAAGTTTCAGCGCAAATCGACCGTGTAACAGCAGTAGTTGCTTTCGTCGGGCAAGGGCACCACCGTGGTCATGGGTGTGATATCAAAGATAGGGGCGAAATTCGGCTGGGTTGCAATCTGCCATCTATCTACACACGCGCCGATCTCCTTCTAAAAAGGCTAAACAGCTGTTCGCCCGACGCTGCTACCGCACCTCGTTCGTGGAACGCTTTGCACAGAAAAAAATGAACCAAGGACTGACGAAACCCGTCCATTTGTGATAAGCGGCGCAATCGTCGGGCGTGCCGTTCGACAACCCGCTACGCTCCACCCCCCCCCCCCCCGGCCAGTAACGGAGAGAACCCCTCCCCGCCTACGCCCTCGTCTGCTCTCGATTTCGGTCTGCGTACACAAATCAGCCGTCCAAGAGCGTCTTGAGGGCGCCGCTGCTGTTGGCTGCCTGCACGGCGTCGTTACCCCCGACGTGCGTGCCTTTCACGAACACGTTCGGAACAGTGGTCTGTTCGGAGGACGGGCCAAGGGGGGGCGGGGCGGGAGAATTCAAGACAAAACAAGCATGCGGGTTGCTTGGGTTTATGTATAGCGCAGTCGGTGCCAACCAACACAAGCAAACGACGCACGCGGTTTTGCACTATTTAGGAACAGACCGGGGCCATCCGAACGCGTACGAGGGCAAGATCAAGCACGGGGGGTGCGTTTGGGGGTGGTGGCTGGGAGGAGAAGCGACGGCGGCGTACGCAACAATCACGACGCTGCCTGATGGGCAAGGTCTTAAATGAAGCCTTCCTTTGGCGCACGCCACCGACAGAAGAACCACAAAAGCTATCACTTGCAGCTGCACGTTGCTTCCGTACACACACGCTCAAACTTGACAAGAACCTTGTGGTAGTCTGCAAGTGGTGAACCCAGAAGAGGCTCTGAAGCGTGTGACTAAGCGCTTTCCGTCCGGTCCTCCCGTCAAAATACCCCCTCGCACATCGGGGATTGGAAGCTTCATGCTCGTCCCTCTCATGACGTATCATTTTTTTCCGCGCTATGTATCATTCCTATGCACCCCTTCTCCGTTCTTACCTGCCCCGTCTTCGCTCCGAGAATAGCCTGGATGGCTTCGCCGTCGTCTGTGGGGGCACAGGGGTAGAGACGAGGTGGGGGGGGGGGGGTCACGAGCACGACGTGCGTGTGAAACTTCGAAAACAGCCTGGGTCCGCGACTCGAGGGCTCGCTGCTCCGCGCCGTTCACAGGTCAAGGCTGCGCGATGTGCCTTGCGTGCGGGCGTTCTTTCCCGCAGCAAAATATGCTGAAAAAAAACAATCAGGGCTGCAAAAACCTAGTCGCCAACTTCACACCTACAGCCAAAACCTAAGACCGTACGCAGATCACCGCAAAACACGTAGCACACAGCCCGTTCGAGGCCCACCACCACCATCACCAACGCGCACAGAGCAAGCGGTAGCCATGGCAAATGCCCACCGGCGTGGGCGGGTTTTCTCGAGCTGCCACGCTCTACCGTAACGCGGACAGCAAGAAGAAGGGGTGCGCGTACAGTAACCGCTTTGGGTTGGGTGACTCACCCATCTGGTCTAGCTCGTACACCGTTGCGTCAACTCCCAGCCCTGCGAAGAGGTTTTTGGTTCTGGTGCAGAAGCTGTTGCCGTCGTCGTCGTCGTCGTTGCCCACATACAGACACACCAAGACGCGCACGTGCGGTGGTATCAACGAACGAACAAACAAAGAGGAACGAGAGAGAGGGGGGGGGGGGGGGGGGGGGGACAAACGAAGGAACCAAAAAAAAAAACCCCCGCCGGGTTAAAAGGGAAGCCCCCGGGAAAAAAGAAGGGGACCCCGGGGGGGGGATCCCTGGGAAAAAAAAAACCCGGGGAAAAAAACCCCAAAAAAAAAAACCTTCCCTTTTCCCTTCCCCCCTTTTTTTTTTGGGGGGAAGGGGGAACGCCCTTTCCCCCGGGGGGGGCCTTTCACCACTTGAGGCAAAAAAAAATTTGGCCCCTGCAACCCAAAAAAAAGGATCCCCCCCCGATTGGCGGGGAAGGGCTATTGGTTTCCAAAACCCCCAAAACATTTGCAAAAATTTTTGAAAAAAATTTCTTTTCTTTTGGGGGGGGGGGGGAGGAAAAAAAATCGGAGGCAACCCCACCGGGGCGGGGGTTGGATGGTACTTTTTGC